AAAGTGACAACACGAAAATAAGAGCCAAGTGGAGAAATAATGCAATGAAATGTCTACAACTAATAAAGCAAAATCTTCTTTGAAAATCTAGATATTGTCACTTTAATTGGGTGACAACTACTTGCAATCCATTCTGCAAGTATCATTTGACTTCTAAATAACAAGGATCATGAGGAATATGGCTTAATCATAAAGCTATAATGTGAGAGAATCCTTTGGATCATGATAATCCATTTGCAAAGATGGACATGTTACATCTCTAAACAATGATCAAATGGAGATGTAATAACGTGCTGAAAATCAATGATTCAAAGTTTTCATTCAATATCAAGAGGTCACCATACCAATTGAGAAACAAGCATTAGTGAGCAAACAAAAGACTTGTTGAATATAACGAACGATAAGTGCATCGTTTACGTGCAAAAGCAACGGGCATGTCAATAGCAACTACAAATAATGATTGATGATGAATGAGTTCTCTATATCTCATTCAAAAGCAACAAACACAATGATATTTGCGCGGTGAACTCAATGTCAAGTGACATACATTTGATCCTCTCAAATAAAAGTGACTAATATACAGTAGATGTAAGTACCTGCGAGCTCTTATAGCAAGGATATCCAAACATCCTTGCCAGTCAACATACAAGGATAAATAAGTAGCGAGCACAACTCAACCAATTGCCAATAATAGCATGCAGGAATGTGTGTTGGTCTCCTACAAAAATTGGAAGACTAATGTGTACTGGACAAAGCAACCTACCAATCAATATGTATGAAGAAATTGATGGCAAATGCAAACTCCTATGAATTACTGTAGGAGATCTGTGACATACACAAAATGACATCTCCAAATAGACACAGGAGACCGTCATCAAATGCAAACCTCTACGAGTTGCGAAAGAAGACTTATTTCATAGTTAACATTTCATTTGCAACTAGAGAAGGAAGATATGCAAGTGAATACATCAATTCACTGCACGCAAGGAAAGATGAGATGCATCAAATACAAACTCCTATGGGCCGTCACAGAAAATTAGTCATAAACATCACAAGTAAGGTGCAAATGTACATACAATGTCTTATCTAGTCAAAGGTAGTATACTTACAGTACATGTATACAAGGCCTTTGCAAGTTGTTACGGCACCCTCATATTCGACAAATGTCAATCAAACATGCCGATCATTTGCAAGTCGAGACGAATAACAAACAACAAATGCAAGCGCCTACGGGCTACTGTCGAAGACTTGCTATACAGGTTATCCACTAGTAAATATAGAAGACTTCCAACATATGCCAACATCCACAGTAAAAAGCAGGAGATTAATTAGTGCATTATAATCTACATGCATGAACCATACAAGTAGTGCACTATGGTCTACCTGTACAAAGCAGCAAACAACTCAATCCAGAAGCTGCTACAAAATGCCACCGGATCCGCAACTTCTATGCAAGCGGACAGAAGGCGTCTACAAATACTTTTAAAGTACCTCCGCATGTGCACCGTAGTTTGTATAAACATAGGTACACTAAAATGGGTAAAAACAATCATAAAACCTGCATAGGCCCCGGCTAGCATGTTATTGGTACACACGTGACGTCCAGAGATGCTGCGATAATCCTCCTAAGCAAGTAAAAAGGAGTAGACAGGATATAATTATAAAATAACCCCAAACACCCGCATGGGCCCCGGCGAGCGTGTTGTGGGAACACACTTGACGTCTAGGGATGTTGCGCGGGTCAATAAGTGAATTCAAATTCGAACCCGATCCTTCTATATGGGTCAATAGGAGTCGAAAGGGTTCGAACAATCAAACAAGTATATTGTGGTGGCGATCGGTATATTTGTTTTAATACATTCATATTAGGCCTTCAAGGCCTGTAATAATATGAATTCACTAACAAAGGCCTATCAACTTGTCGACAAGGTTTAGTCAATGAATGACCCCACACCCCGATGATGGGCGTGTTGAATGAAAATCCCAACCGAAGGGGTTCATTCCAAACATTTCAAGTGTCACCCAAATGTTCATCAGGACTTCAAAACTCCACAAAAATTCCTAAAAATTCAAAAATATTTAAAATTGAAATCCAACTATCAAATAACTTAAAGCAAAAATCATCCGCCCTCCGCAAAAGTTTGCCGAGATGGACAAATTCAAATATAATTTTAGCTCACACAGAGTTAAATGTCTAGTCAAAAATATCATTAGGATCTATTCTCAAAAAATCTCCTGCCAGTAAGGACGTGGTACGTGTCCTCTAACCGGCGATTTTGCCGCCAAATGGCACCGCTGGATAAACGGTTATGACGACCCGAGGCCCTTTGAACCGCGTGGTTTTGCCGCCAAATGGCACCACGAAATACTGGTTATGACCAGAGCTAATACACTCCTTAATGGAATCAAATCTTTGAGATATGAATCAATAGGATATGATCGATAGGACACAAAGCCCTCTGTTAGCTAAGGTAGATTCAAATTTGTCCCCATAGGCAAATATCCATCCCAGGTCTACAAGGTATCCTTGGACGAAGCAACCCATGGCTGCCGACAAGAATCCTTCTGTCAAGTTGGGTCGACTACCTCCTCTGACTAAGTAGATCAGGGACTATGATGGCCCGGGACAACGGAACCATGGGATCTTGATCCGGTCTATCATCCATTCCCCCATCATCCGCTTTAAGTGCAAGATGGTGAAATTTTTAATTTTAAATATCAAATCTCCAAATCTTCCAATCTTCCAATACCCAATCACCAATATTCAACCCATGCTGCTACTATATGCCGAATAACACATCTCTACGTATATGATTGACGACTAGCCTTAATCGAAAGTTCTCTCTCTTGACCGGGTGGGGTAATTAACTATAGGGGCTTGCGCCTATAGGAAACCAGAACTCAGATCATAAAGTCCCGCAAAATGAGGGCGAAATCTCTGGGTAGTGTCTTATCTACAAACCCATCTGCCTTCCAAAATTTACCCCGGAACTTAATTCAGTTAAAACTCCCTCGCCAAAAGCAAACAAACAGAGCGGGCAGAGACCGGGGCTGAATTTTCGGAGCCCACAAACGCATCACTTCTTCTCACTTCATTCACTTTCTACTCTATCATCTCCCCCTCGCCGAACGCAACTACTCAACCACTTTTTTCTCTCGCCAAAACCATCAACCCAACAATCAGCTCAAATGATCCATACCATTTCATGTACGCTCAATGATCCATTGTTAAATTCTTCAAATGGATGCTCTTTTTCAGTGATTTATTTCTTTGCGATCAAACATCCGTTATGAGTTATATCACTGGTTATGTTCTTCTTTGAATTCTGTTTGTTTAGTGTTAGTTCAACCCTTTCTTTTCGGTGTGTGGATTTTCTTTCCAGAAAATAAAATCTATTGGTTTATTTATTTTTTGGTGAGTTTTGGGTTTGGTCTTTAGCATGGAAATCCTGTATCAGGCATCCAGGCAAGTGATAATCCAAGAGGTTTTGCTTCAAAATATCAAGGGGAATTAGTTTGTGATTGTTCTCAAGTTCTATTTGATAAAGATTTTGCACAATTTCTATTAATAAGCTTACAACATATTTTTCTATATATTTGATGATCGTATTTTTGAATTGGAGATGTAATAAAGTGGATATGCTCTTTAGTACCTGTTTTTTATAAAATTCCTTTTGGAAACCACACTCTATATATACATTAAACTACAATGCACATTAGGGTTAGAAGTACTTTACAAATCTGAAAATTTCAACATGGCCATATAACTTTGTACTACATAAAGTAAATAATACAAAAAATGTCCTAAATAAATACAAAATGTTTTTGATATCATAATATTCTAATAAAAAATAATCACAATGATAATTTGAGTTAATGAATAAATAAACAATTTCTTCACTAACATACTTGAACTCACAAAGAGAGAGCAGCAGTAACTAAAATTTCTGGAAAAGAGTCTTATTCAAGCTTGAATAGTGGTGCGCATATCAAATGTGACCAAACAGAAATTTTTGAATTTTGGATGACGATTTTTTTAAAATAAATAGAAAAAAAAAGTTTTAGATGAGGTTGCTGGGGAGGATCCAACAGTGAGGGAGGGTTTAAGTTGTGCTTAATGCATGAATGAGAGAATTATGATTTGTCAAAATAAGTTTAGATCCCCACTGACAAAATTTGCTGGCTCCACCAATGTTAATATCTAAGGTTTTTTTTTCTTTTTTCTACATTGATCAATGCTATTTTTTATATCAAATGCCTTTTTGATGGCCTTTTTTTAAACTTTGTCTATAATTCGATGTGATTTGTATGCATTTGATATGTTTTTTGTAACCATTGTTAATGTATAAGATTTTTTTTTTTGGCTTCATTGATCAATGCTATTTTTTATATCAAATGCCTTTTTAATTCCTTTTTTTTAACGTTTTCTATAATTCGATGTGATGTGCATGCATTTGATATGTTTTTTGTAGTAAATAAATTGCTAACTAAGAAGTCTTGGATTTTTTTTGAGTTAATTATAATTGATCAGAATTACTAAGAGATCTTGAGTTTTTCGGATATTGGGTTTGATTGCTAACTTATACGTGTATTCAGTTGAATGGCTCGAAGCCTAAAATGTCCAAAAATAATAATAATTTCCAAAACAAAATGTGAAAATGGGCGCCATCTATAGTAGCGAGTAAGAGAACTTTGATACTTGAATAATCTATAAAACGCAGCTGAAGCCGTTTAGATCTTTTCCTCTACACGCCGACCTGAGGTAACATCCAGATAAGAAGTGTTACTCCTTCCAGTTATGTCGATTATAATTTTTTCTTCTTACAATGACACGCTTTGGATCAATAATTTTCTTTATTAATCTTTGTTTGTAGGTTGTAGATTTGTTCTTTGTTCCATTTACAATGCGACCTTTGGCAATTTTAATGTTCTTCTTTCTAACCTTTTTTTTCATCCATATTCAAGTTTTGTTCCTTAAGATTTCAGGTTAATGTTTTTTAGATACTTGGGTCGTATTCTTTAACCTCTACGAAAATGAGATTTGATAAATTACTCTTTAGTTGCTATGGTGATTTTCTTATGCTAGTTCAATCCAGAGTGCATTTATCCTTTGCTGCAAACTTATTTCACTTGATTGGAGATATATGAGTAACAAATCCAATACTTTTCAATCAAAAAGTTTTTTTTTTTAATAACATATTAAATTAAGAGAAAAAAAGCATTAGGATTAGAGAAACAATGATGTATGAAAATTTTAAACAAGCACATATGTAGATGCAGAAGCTTAAATTATAATATTGAGTTGAAGATGATTACAATGAAAATAATATCAGAAGGTTGACTGTTATGAATCGGTTGCAGAAGAAGTGTAAAGCAAAGACGAGTATGTGCACGTGCATTTGTTGAGTTTAATGTTTATTCCAATAATCTGATTTCTTCTAGATAACATTTGAATTAAGACTTCCATTTGAAGGTTAGCCATTCATGTTTATTTTATTTAATTCTTATTTTTTCTAATTCTTTAAGATGGTCATTGTTATTTACTCTAATTTGTTGTTAATTATTTTTTATTGCATGATTTTTATTTATCTATTCTGTTTTATGCTCTAAATTATTTCATCCCACTTGTGCACTTGTTTTCTATTCATATTTTTTTTCTTCATTTATTAAATATTAAAAATGACTTGTAGCATAATTTATGTAAAATCTTATTTATATTTGACTTTAAATCTGAGTATTGTTTGTTTTTCTTTATATTAAGTCTTTTACTGAGAATAATTAGTCATATATACACGAACTCCTCTTATTGTTAAGCTTACAATAATAGATTGAATTTTTTTCTTTAATTTTCTAAATTTGCAAATTATGATTTTTTTCTCTTCCAATGAACATCGTTGTTGAGTCATGTTCATTTTATTTATAACTTTTTAGTTGTTGTTTTTTTTGCAATTATTGATATCTATTAATATTGTTGACAATTTTTATACATATATTTTCTATAGAAGATCAAAGAAAAAAAGATTATGACAAGCAACGATATGCTAAACGGTCTACCGAGCAAAAACGAAAAAAAAAAAAATTCAAGCTAACAATATTGCTAAAAAAAAAAAGAAAGCAATTTTCTAATTTAGAAATTGCTTGTTTGCCATCATTGTCAAATTCTACAGGTTCATTTTTATCGAACAAAAATAATTAACATATATATTTCATAGTTCTAAATGTTTAATATATTTTATCTTTGAACAAACAGATATTGAAGTATCAAATATGAACGATGCTATTATAGATTATGAATCAAATATGTCAGAATTACATTTTCTCGAACACCGACGTTCATGCTTTTACTGTAATGCAAAGCTATTTCAATTCGAGCTGCCAACCTTTTGTTGTTACAATGGTGAAGTCCTACTTGCTCCGACAAAAGTTCATGAAAAACTTTATGAATTATTTACTTCCTGTTCATCTGATTCAAATGAATTCAGAAGTAAGATTAGAGCATATAACAGTATATTTGCATACACATCTTTCAGAGCTCATATAGATAAAAATTTATCAAATGCAAGACAATGGATCTACATATTTAGAGCTCAAGGACAAATTTATCATAGTTTACCTCCAATTACAAAAATCTCAAATGGTCCATTCTACTTCTATTATATATTTATGATACTGATGCTGAAACAAATAATCAATTGAATGTTTTTAAAGATTTAAATCTTTCAGAGGAATTAGTAAAGAAATTAATAAACATACTTTCTGGAAATTCGTACGTTCAATTCTTTAGATTTTTATGTAATAGAAGTATATTGGAAAACTTTCAAATACACATTAAATCTGATGTAAGAGTATATCAAAGAGTTTATAATGCTCCTAATATGTCACAAGTAACAACAATATAGATTGAAGGCAAGAGTATAGATTTCATTAAACGTGATATCATATTAACTTCATATTCAGGAACATACCGAAAGATCAAGCATTATTTTGGATGTTACGACCCTTTATTCTATTCCCAAATGAAGAGATTGGATGGCATCAAAATATAGATCGAACTTCCAAGTTTGAAAGAAGAAACAAACAAAATCTAGTTCAGATTATAATGTCCTCCCTAATAGAGGAAGAGTTATTTAACTAAGAAGAAAATGGTATGTTATTAAGAGTATTATATTAATATATAATATATATAATTATTTAAATATTAACTTTTTTTAAAATTTTGCAGAGATTAAGAAATCATAAAAAAAGAGTTTCATACAGAGAATATTATAGTTACAAGCTTCAAATTCGAAAAAAAGATAAATCAGTTATTCTGTATGTTGGGCGATCACTACATCAATATGTTGTTGATATGTATGTGAAGATTAAAACAAGTCGATCAGATTTTTTTAGTCAAAAACAATATACAATACGATCTGATTTGTATAAAGGGATTATCGATAGTGTAGCAGCTGGATAAACACTAAATAATAATACTGGACAAAAATTTATACTTCCACCATCATTCATTGGCGGACCTCATGATATAAGGTGAAGATATTTAGATGCAATGGCTCTATGTCAGTGCTTTGGAAAACCAGACTTATTCATAGCAATGATGTGTAATCCTGATTGGAAAGAAATTCAGAATGAGTTAAAGCCGAGTCAAATGGCACATGATAAACCTGACCTAACAACGCGTCTATTTAGGTCTAAATTACAATATTTAAAGGATCAATTATTCAAGAAATTTATTTTTGGATGTGTAGCTACTTATGTATATGTTATAGAATTTCAGAAAAAAAAGGGGCTTCCATGTGCCCATTTTTTAATTATCTTGAAGACTGCATTTAAGATAACAGTTCCAGTATAGTTTGATAGAATTATATCTACTGAATTATCATATCCTTCAAAATATAAAAGGCTACATGAATTGGTTGTTAAGAATATGATGCACGGTCCATGTGAAAACTTAAACAAAAATAATATACTTGTATGAAAAAAGGATTATGTAAAAATAAATATCCTAGATCTTTCTCAAGCTAAACTATAGTTGGGGATGACTCATATCCAATTTATCAGAGAAGAAATGATGGTCAACAAGTAAAAGTCAGAAATAATTATTTGGATAATCGTTAGGTTATTCCTTATAATCCATATTTATTATCTAGACATAATTTTCGTATAAATATTGAGATATGTTTCAGTATCAAAGTAGTGAAATATATTTATAAATATATTTACAAGGGGCATGATAAGATTTCAGTATCATTTTCACAAAAAAAAAAAGAACAACCTTTTGATGAGATTCAACAATATCAAAATGTCATATGAGTATCAGCAGCAGAAATATTATAGAGAATATTTAAATTTGACTTAAATGAGATGTAACTATCAGTGTGTAATTTACAACTACATTTAGAAGATCAACAATCCGTTTATTATAAAGACAATCAAAATTTGGTAGATATTTTAAAAAGCAATGCTGGAAAAAAATCTATGTTGACCGAGTTCTATCATCTTAATAAAATTAATTCAGATGCAAAGAAATACCTTTATAAAGAAATTCCTAAAAATATGCATAGGATAAAAAAAATGGAAGCAAAGACAAAGATATGATCAAATAGGTCGTATAAACACAACAAATCCATCAGACGGTGAAAGATATTATCTTAAAATCTTGTTAAATCATGAGTATGGATCAACATCATTATCTGATTTATTATAAGTTCATGGAATTCAATGTTCTATTTTTATAGAAGCTACATAGAAGCATGATCTCCTAAAAATAGATAATTATATATCAGATTGTTTATATAATACATCAAATTATCAAATGTCAAATGCACTACGATAATTATTTTCTATTTTTATTATTTTCTATGAGCCAACTAATGTTCTCCAATTATGAAATGATTACTACATAAATTTGTCTCACGACTATCAAACCAATAAAGAAATTTCTTCTAATGAATACATTACAAGAGCATTATTAGATATAAATATATTTCTCGAGAGAATGGGGAAGACTATTGATGATTTCAACTTACCAAAATTACCACCTATTGAAGAGGACTTTATTGATTATAATGATGAACTCCATAATAGAAAAATATTTGAAGAGCGACATGTTATTACTCCGGTTGAATATATGGTACACACTCTTAATATAGATCAAAAGAACGCGTACCAATGAATTATAAATCGTGTCGATAACAAACAGAATAGCATGTTTTTTATAGATGGTCCTGGAGGGACTGGTAAAACATATATTTATCGTGTAATGCTTACGACTTTAAGAAATAATGGGCACTTAGCGATTGCAACAGCAACATCGGGAGCAGTTGCATCAATATTGCCTGGAGATCAAATAGCCCACTCAAGATTTAAGATACCTATAAATTCAACAAAGACCAGTGTGTTCAATTAAAAAACAAAGTGGACTTGCTCAACTACTTAAAAAAGCAAGTATTTTAATTTGGGATGAGGCTCCTATGATTAAATGAATAGCTATTGAATCTTTGGATAAGACTTTGAAAGATATTATGAATAATTTTGTTTATTTTGGTGGTAAAGTGATTGTATTTAGAGGCGACTTCAGTTAAATATTGGTAGTGGTAAGACGTGCATCAAGATTATAGACTATTAACTATAGCATGGTTAAGTCAAACTTATGGTCATATATGAAAGTTTTCAGTTTAAGAGAGAATATGTGAGCTAGGACGGATTAATTATTTTATGATTTCATTCTTAGAATTGGAAATGAAGAAGAAGAGGAAACTGGAGATGGACTGGTGCATATTCCAGATGAGATGATAATAGATTATTTAGATGATCAGACTTTAGAAGATTTGTTAATAAATGTTATATTTCAATCCCAACATGAAAAATATACATCTTCACATCTATATCCATTTTCTCCATCTCGCCACCAAATGCAACTTCTCCCTTCCGAACGATAGTGACTACTCTTCTCCCTCTCGATAAATGTAGTAAGGAACCTCTCTCTTGCCAAAATCGTCAATGTATCTTTGCAAACTTCAAACTGGTGAGCAAAATTCTCTTAAATCTCCTTCAAAGCAGTTTCTTTTAGATGCTTAGATTTTTCATCCATTTCTAATTCACTCTTACTGCAAAGTTGTTCTTCTCATGTGAGTGCAGATCTCCCAATATGGCGGAGCCACTTGCTCCAGTGATTCCTTGAGAAAGCGTCGGGACAGGTAATTTAAAACATAAAATATCTACCTCTTGTTTTTTTTTTGTCACTTTTAAAATTTTTAAAAATCTACTCATGTGAATGTATTCATGTTGCTATTACTTGCTTGGCATAGGCTATTAAGATTTTGTTGTCACCATGAATTTCAAAAGTTTCTTATTTCTGGAACCATTGAAATCCCCAAAAATCTCAATGAGTTTAAATGTCATTCAAATAAAAAAGTCAATTGCAACTCTTTTAGACTTTTTTTTTAATATGAAAAACTTCTTCGCCACTGTGCCACGATTGAAAACCTTGTTGTCTTTCCCCTTGCAAGTGTGGCCCAAACATGTATTGTCTTTCCACTATCCACAAATATTAACCTCATTTAATCTATATTTTCAAAGTTGAAATTGATATCAAGTTTACTACTTGCAAAAACCATATATTGTATTGTAATAATGAACTGTTATTAATATTGAATTTTTTTGATTGGGTGAAATTGCATTGTTTATTATTTTTTAAAAAATTTATGCTTGGTAGCTATAATTTTTGATATCATGTGGTGATGTTTGTATTCTGAATTTTTTGGTTCTCTGAATTAACCTTTTAAACATATTGATGTTGTATTAGATCAGTGGGGTCACAATCGGAGATGTGCAACATTAATATATAACATTTGTTAAAGATCACACTTCCTTTCAAAGATAACTCAATTGATGACCCAATAAGGCCATATTGAGGTGAACTTAATTTTGTTAATCTCAAACATATAGTGGAAAAGTTCTTATATTTGTTTGTATTTTTTAAAGATATTCAAGGTAAATTCATAAACCTATACAACAAACCTACCACCAAAACTATGACTGCTTAGTTAGGCGAATGCAGACTCGAACTATTACCATCAAAACCACTTGGCCTAAAGGCCGACTTCTTTGTTGCCACCTAAAGCTAGTCATTGAGTCGTTTTAAGTGCTTTGGGCCACTCCATGCTCCAGGAAACCCACTGTCAAATTTATTATGTTAATTTTTTTATTTATTATTAATGTTTAAAATTTTATTAATGTGCAATTAAAAAAACTTATAACTTTCAAGGATATCCTTTTGCAACTTTGATTTCAAGATTAAGTTTTGTATCATGTACTTTTTTATAATACCAAAAATATTATTTTTATGATTACTGTTTCTCTTAACATACATTGGATATATTTTCTTTTTGTTGTTTGTGTGTACTAATATTTTAGGAAAATCATACTCCAAACTGTCGAAGACTTCAAGGCAGAGTAGACTAG